ATGCGTGAGGTGATATGGTGGTTTTGATTTGCATTTCCCTGATGATTAGTGAGGTCGAGCATCTTTTCATGTGGCTGCTGGCCATCTGTGTTTCCTCTTTGGGAAAATGTCTACTCAGCTCTTCTGCCCAGTTTTCAATCACATTGTTTGACTTTCCGATGTTGAGCTATATGAGCTATTTATATACAGCTTTTCTTTTTTAATTTTCTTGGAGTGATAAAACCCCAAATAAGACGGTCTTACCAAACTGTATCAACAAACGTAAGACCAAATATCAACTCACGTCCAAAAAAGAGGGCATTAAGGAAATACAAAAACTAGAATAAGGTATCACCTCACACTGGTCAAAATGGCCATCATCAAAAAGTCTACAAACAATAAATGCTGAAGAGGCTATGGAGAAAAGAGTACCCTCCTACACTGTTGGTAGGAATGTAAACCGGTACAACCATTATGGAGAAAAGTATGGAGCTTCCTTAAAAAACTAAAAACACAACTACCATATGATCCAGCAATCTCACTCCTGGGCTTGTACCTGGAGAAAATCATAATTCAAAAAGATACATGCACCCCAATGTTCACTGAAGCAGTATTTACAATAGCCAAGACATGGAAGCAACCGAAATCTCCATCAACAGAGGAACAGATAAGAATATGTGGTACATATATGCAATGGAATATGACTCAGCCATAAAAAAGCAGAAAATAATGCCATCTGTAGCAACATGGATGGACCTGGAGATTTTCTTTCTAAGTGATGTAAATCAGTTAGAGAAAGGCAAATCATATGGTAACACTTATATGTGGAATCTGCTTCTCTTGTGGCTCAGCTGGTAAAGAATCCATCTGCAATGTGGGAGACCTGGGTTCGATCCCTGGGTTGGGAAGATCCACTGGAGAAAGAAAAGGCTCCCCACTCCAGTATTCTAGCCTGGAGAATTCCATGGATTGTATGGGGTCACAGAGTTGGACACGACTGACTGACTTTCACATATGTGGAATCTAATTAAAAAATGATACAAATGAACTTATTTACAAACAAAATAGATTCGCAGATCTTGAAATCAAACTTAGTTACCAAAGGGGAAACGTGGAGGGAAGTGATAAATTGGAGATTGGGATTAACATATACACATTACTGTAAATAAAACAGATAACAAGTACCAACTATTACCAAATAAAACAATTTAATCAGAACTCATAAACATTTCTTTGTAACTGCAACACCAGAAGCTCTGATTTCAAAAGAGCAGTTGTAAAAAAAAAAAAGAGAGCGTGAGCAGTTGTATTTTAAAATAACCATCCCCAACAGGTTTCACATGCCTAGAGCGTGCAAATTTATTTTTGAATTCCCCATGCTCTTTTTTGTCCCAGTGAACAAAGCTAGCCACCACCACGTATAAAGTATCTTGCTATTCTGCATACAAAGCTGCATATTTAAAATCAAATCATATATCCCATGTAAATTATGATTTATACCCTCCTGTAAAAAATGATTGCAAAATCCTTATCCATACCCTAGCACAGAGAATCCATCAATATATAGAGAACAATGCATTTTGACCAAGAGGGTTTTACCTCAGGAATGGAAGGTGAGTTTAACATTCAAAACTCAGTCCATGTAATTCACCACAGTTAAAGAATAAAGAAAACACAAGATGTTCATCTCAAAGATGTAGAAGAAGCATTTGACAAAATTCAACACCCACTCATGATAAAAATTCTCAAATAGGAACATAAGGAAACTTTCCCAATCAATGAAGAGCATCTTTGAAAAACCTACCTTAAGATCATAACTAACAGAGAAATAGTGCTTTCCCCTGTAAATCGGGAATAAAAGATGTCTACTCCCATCACTTACATTCCACACTGCACTTGAAATCCTAGTCAATGTGAAAAGGTAAAAAGAATGAAAATGTGTACAGACTGGAAAGGAAGATGTAAACCTCTATCTGGGTATGATTCTTTACAAAGAAAATTCTAAGCAATCTACAAAAAGGCTACTATGAAAGTAAATTAGCAAGTTGCAAGGTTTAAGGTCAATATGCAAAATTCAGTTATAGTTCTATATACTAGCAACAAAGAAGTGGAAAATGAAATTTCAAATATCCACTTACAACAGCATCAAAAAAACCCCCCAAAATATTAGTAATAGACAAACAAAACACATGAAAGGCCTCCACCCTAAAACTAGAAAATATTGCTAAGAAAAATTAAAGACCGAACAAAAATAGAGAAACACGCATCAAAAGATTCAATATTGTAAAGATGTCAACTCTCCCTCAAACTGATCTACAGATTCAATACAACTACAACCATAAATCCATCAGGCTTTTCTGCAGAAACTGATTAAGCTGATTTTTAAATGTATATGTAAATTCAAAGAACCTAGAATATTCAAAGTAATCTTGAAAAAAACAAGAACCACCACCAAGTTGAGGGCTTATACTGACTTCAAAACTTACTACAAAGCTCCAATAATCAAGACAATCTGATACTGGCATACAGACAAGTAGATAAATGAAACAGAACAAAGAGCCCAGACAGATTTACAATTATATGGCATTTGATTTTCAAAAGTGCCAAAGCAATTTAATGGAGAAAATAAAGTCTTTGCAACAAAGAGTGCTAAAATAATTGGATATCCATATGGAAAATATATTTCAAACCCCACCTCATACCCCACACTTATCAATTCAAGATTGATCACATAAATTTAAAAACTAAGCCTATAAAACTTCCAGAAGAAAACATAAGAGAATTATCTTTATGACTGAGGAGTAGGCAAAGGTTTCTTGGAGGTCACAGAAGGCAATAACCACAAAAGAAAAAAAAAATGCCAAATTAGATGAACAGGAAAGCCACAGACTGGTAGAAACTTTGCAAAACACATCTACAACAAAGGATCAGTATCTAAAGAAATTCCAAAACTCAATAGTCAAAAAATTTGAACGAACACTTCACAAAGGAAAATATGGCCAAAAGGCATATAAATAAAAATGCTGAACATCATTTAATCATCAGGGAAATGCAAATTAAAAAAACAATCAAATACCACTGAGCATCCACAAAAAGAGCTAGTTAAAAGACTGACAATACCAATGTTTAAAATATATATATATAAAGCAACTAGAACTCTCATACATCATTGGAAATACTTTAGAAAAATGTCTAGCAATTCTTATAAAACTAAACATATACTTATGTATATTTATGAGCCAAGAGCCAGCTATTCCATTCCTAAATATTTACTTAAGAACTGAAAACAAATGTTCGCAAAAAGATCTACACATAAATGTTTGGAGCAACTTACTCAGAACAGCCAAAAACCTTAAAAAGTCTAAATTTTTACCAATAAAAGAAGATATAAGCAAACTATGGTATAGTCAGAAAACAGAATGGTACTCAGCAATATAAAGGAACAAACTATGGACACAACAGCAAAATGGATGAACTTTTAAAACATTAGGCTGAGTGCAAGATGTGCTTTATTCAAATGAATCCATTTACATGTTCCCTTTCTATGGAACAGACAATATTAATCTGTGGTAGAAACAAAACCACAACAGCAGTGGCCAGGGGTTGAGGAAGAATCTCCAGGAAAGACCTTTCTGGGGTGATGGTAATATTATGTCTTGAGAGAGGTTTAAGTTACACAGGTGTATGTTTTTGTCAAAACTCATCGAAATGTACCCTTAAGGTGGTGCATTTCATTGTATGCAAACTTTCAACTCCCTTAAAAAATATATATCTCAAACTCGTTATACAAGCAGAAATATTCAGAAGTAAAACAAACAGACATCTGCAACATACTTTGAGGTACAAGCAAAAAGATTAAGATGAATTAATAAATGCATTAAGGGATGAACAGATCAATGTATGATAAATGATAAATGTAGAATCTATATGATGTCTGTATGGGTATTTACTTTATTGAAAACAATTCTTTCAACTTTTCTGTGCTTCTGAATGTTTTCATAATAAAATATTCAGAAAAAATTTTAAATAATGACTTACTACATGGATAGTACACACTAGATCAGTAACAATACCTGCCACTCTAATAGGGAAGACCCTTTATATTCTATTACAAGTTAATCACTAAAGGGATGTTGCCTATAAGCTTAAATTATACGTAATGACCCATCTCTGATAACCCTGTCTCTCAAGTAATGAGCATTAAACTAAAAGACCTTTGTTTAGCTCATAGGAACAATCATGACCAGGCCCACCTGTGAATGATTGCAGGGAGGAAGAAATTAAAACAGCCCCTCTGGAAGCTGACTGGAACCAGGAAATGTCTGACTTTACTCCCTCTCCGGTTTGTGGAAGAAAAGCCTTAGGCAAGATGGTTCTTTAGAGGCATGAGTTCACCATCTTCTCAGTTTTCTCACTTTCAGAACAAAGTCACTATTCCTTGCCCCAACAACTCGTCTCTCAATTTACTGGTCTGTCAGTGCAGCGAGCAGTATGAGCATGGACTCAGTAACACTACCACCACCGTTCCCGTGATTACTAGGTGTGAGGCACTTTGGTGGGTACTTATATGTGTTACATCTAATACCCACAGCAATTCTGAAAGGCAAGTAGTACTCTCCTCATTTTCCAGATGGAGAACTGATGTGCAGAAAGACTAAAAACCTGTTCTAATCTCATACATCGACCAGATGGTAAGGGCAGGATTCTAAACCCAGATCTGGCTCCATAATACTGCTCTTTCCATTATATCACAGTGTCTTAATGATGAACTCCAAGGTTTTGGTCCAATTAACTTCTTATAGTACCATGGAATTTTATGTTCTTGACCAGTAAACAGATATAGAAATAAGTGGGTTAATAGCAAGGACCTTGGAAATCAACGACACTGTTACTCCACCGTAATGGAATTGGTTAGAACATGGTTGCTGCTCCCCGTCTCCTTTCAGTCATATTACAAATGTGATTCATAAAACAAGAGAAGGATCCCAAAACCATGACTCAATTTTCTCAAAATTCTTTACCTCATTTCTCGTTCTTCATGTTGAGCGATAAGGTTGCTATAAAAATTCTCCAGGGTCACTTTGGTCATTGTCACCCTTTCCTTTGTGTGACTACTCATGGATGAGCAAGGTGTTGAGCCTGTCATTGCCATGGCTGCTAGAAACAATGAAAAAAAAAGAGGTATTAGTTTTGGAGACAGAATCCACCAGTTCTGCACTCTCCTACCCAACTGATAGAAATGTAAATTGACCTAAGTTTTCTGGAATACTAAGCAAAACCCAGACAAACAGAATACTTGGTGAAAACAAGTATACATTAATGTTTTTTGACACAGAAATACCATGCCTAGGTATAAAGCCCTTAGAGAAAAAACTATCACACAGGTTCCTTTTTAACTTTTCTTGTGCCAATGGAACCCGTGCCCCCTGCAGTGGAAGCACAGAGTTGAAACCACCAAACTGCCAGGCGACTCCCCTCAACTCCACACAGGCTCTTAAGAGAGCATGAACACTATGTGCACTACAGAAGATGGTCCTTATGCCATCAACTGTGTTAGGAGAAACTGGAAGCAATTCAGTAAGCAAATCAAGAAGTAAAATGTTGTGGAGACATACAAAGAAATAACCATATAGCAGTCAAAAGCGACATGAATATATCCTTAAGGAAGAGCGTTGCATTTTTCAGAAAGAAGGGAACAAGACCACAATACCAGACACATATATTAAGAACATGTATCACAGACAGTACCATTCTTTGCCATCTAGGAATCTACCTTGAAGGAATCAAAGACCCACAAGGATTCACACACAAAGGAATTCAATGCAGCATTGTAATGACAAAGAAAAACTACAAGTAACTTGAATAATCAAGAACAGAATTGATTAAATCATGGAAAAGTCCTACAATGAAATAACATGCAGACAATTAAAGTATGTTCAATTGTTTATCAGGCAAGCCTTTAAAGGATAAAACAAAAAACATTTTTCAGGAAAAATATTTCCAATCTAATTGAAAATAATAGGTTATAAAACAACATATACCATTTCACTTTTATGTGTTTACTGTATATGCACAGAATTATTAGAAACATATATCAAAATGTTACCAGTGGGAAAAAATATTATTAGTGGTCTAACTCTAGGCAGTGGGAATACAATAGATCATCTTTTTGTCTGTGCTTTTCACATTTTCTTCAATGAGTGTGTACTATTACCATTAAGTTACCAAGAACTTTTAAGTTTACAATTTCTATAGTTTAAAAAAAATCTATGACTAAAATCTTCACCTACAAGTATAAATGTACTGTGACATGGCTTATGGTATTCAACAGATGTCTGCTATCTATTTGAGTTGACAAGTTAAAACAAAGACCTATGATGGAAACAATACTACAAAAGAAAAAAACCTAAGTCATAACTTTAGTGATGAAAGATACCTTAAAAACAAGAGGCCCTAAGTTCCTAGTTTTACATATTTGAAAACTGATACCAATGAGGTTTAAATAGCTTTGTTGTTGCTTAGTCACTCAGTCGTGTCTGCCTCTTTGCGACCCCACAGACTGCAGCATGCCAGGCTTCCCTGCCTTCACCATCTCCCAGAGTTTGCTCAAACTCATGCCCACTGAATCGAGGATGCTATCCAATCATTTCATCTTCTGTCAACTCCTCCTCTACCTGTCCTCAATCTTACCCAGCATCAAGGTCTTTTCCAATGACCCGACTCTTCACAGCAGGTAGCCAAAATATTTGAGCTTCAGCATCAGTCCTTCCAATGAATATTCAGGGTTGATTTCCTTTAGGATTGACTGGCTTGATCTCCTTGCTGTCCAAGGGACTCTCAAGAGTCTTTTCCAACACCACAATTTAAAAGCATCAGTTCTTTGGCACTCAGCCTTCTTTATGGTCCAACTCTCACATCAGTACATGACTACTAGAAAAACCATAGCTTTGCTATATAGGCCTTTGTTGGCAAAGTGATGTCTCTGCTTTTTAATACACTGTCTAAGTTTGTCATAACTTTCCTTCCAAGGAGCAAGCGTCTTTTAATTTCAAAAGTTTTCTTAAGGTTCTCCTCTTGATACTTCGCAACTTTTAAAATTGTTTTGGAAATTAAATGTAGCCTTTTAAGAAATATGTAAACACATTACTACTAAGAAAAAAGGCTTAACATTAAGCAATTTTACAAAAAGATACTGGGGGGGAAATCACATAAAGAATAATTTTTTCAGAGAAGAGATTCAAAATCAAGGCTCTACTTCAATGTCAGTCATTCATGATGTGCTAAAATAATCAGTAATCACAAATTCAAGACACTGAATTCATCTCAATCTTACTATAAAATGTTATTTTTTATGGGGAAGTTTCTCCTAACATCAAAGCAAACTCAAATGTTTTTAGGATATCAGAATTCTTCTTAAACCTCTGTCTGGTTTATGAAGCTTGGGTGTGGTTCCTTATTTGTCAGCCTGTACCCCCTCCACCCACAATGAAAACCACATGCTCTCTAAGTTTGGTGAGGAAATTTTAAAACCAGATTTAAAAACAAGTCTGAAGCAAGAGAGTGCTTAGTACTCCTCCCTTGTCTGAAAATTTCCGGAGAATGTTTCTGTCTGTCTGTCTGTCTGTCTGTCTGTCTGTCTCTCTCTCTCTCTCTATATATATATACACACATTTTAACAAATGAAATTATTTCCACATAAAAACACAACTAGAGAGTGTTTAAGCCTAAGAAAAACAATGCCCTCCATATAATAGACAGTTAGTAAACATAGATTGAGCAAATTAATGATTTTCAGAAAAAAAAAAAGATTTTCAGTTGTCAACAAAGGTAAAGAACAAAATTACATTTATATTAATGGGTATATAAAAACTGGAGAACAAACATTTTGACCTATTTAAGTTGCTAGCATGACTTCCTAAACTTTGTAAAAGATCAACAGGAGATTAAATACACTCAAAGATACTCCTATAAAAGGCCAACAATGTTCTAACAGAATGGTTTTCAACCTTCATTCAGTCTCTAATGCAATAGCTAAGGTTACACTGTCCTTCCCTTTGGCCTTTCTTCAAACCCTCCTCCCCATCCTTTTCCTCTGCTCATAAATTCATAATTGATAATTCTAATAACCTTTCATCAAAAGGTACTATTGCCCTACAGCAATTTATAGGTTTTCTGGGTCAACCAAGTACTTTACGTAAGATGGCTTTCCCTCTAGCTTTTGACAACTCAAGCCTTCTTGTCCTGACCTATAGGCCACTGGAGGCCCCTTGTCCTTTGTTTCATTCTCCAACTCAGAATTAAGAAATGATAGGTAAGCAAGAAATCTTAAAAGTTAAAAAAGAAATGTAACAGAAGAATGTGATCTTCACAAGTCGGGGCAAACATTAAAAGGAGATCAAATAAAAACTATCATTGTGTCTAGAGTTATGCATGGTTAACGGACTGACTTTACAAAGGTACCCTGTGAACTCCATAAATATCCCCTTTCCTCACCAATTCTTTCTGTCTTTGTGACTGACAACCCAGCATCTTTCATTTGGACAATTCAACACTGGAGCTGAGACTATTCCTTAATAGTCACATATCTAATTTTTCCCCCTGGAACTGTAAGACACTGGGAAGCAAGCATCCTGTCCTATAATGCTTTCAATATTCTTCCCCATATCGCAAACAATGCTACGCGCTTAGTTAAGTATCTTATAAAAGATTTGCTAGGAAAACCTGGTTTCTTATGCCCACTACTAGGAGCCGAAAATATGTATGTATGACGGGGGTGGGGTTAGGACATGGAATGGTTTTCTATTCCATAGAGCGGGATAGAGTTGACCTCATCCTCTTAAGAGGAAGCTGCCATCTCTCGCCTGGGGGGAGACGGGAGCCTGTTATTGAGGTGGTGGTTGTTCTACGCTTGGGGAAACCACATCCACTGCCTGGCTAATTCTAACTCGGAGTTAAAGTGCGCTGAAAGGGAGAGGAAACGCAGTGGTCTCCACTCCAGCCTTCCCCCGTACACTTCAAAAAGAACAAGATTATCTTTGTGTCTGTTGGTCTAGTGAGAGCTCTGGTCTCACTACCTGCCATTCTGCACACTCAAAAGTCTTTCTGCACAGACTCTGCCCCAACTCCTTACTTTCCTTCTCCACTCTCTTCTTTAAAAAAAACTTCACTACATTTTCCTGTGGTTTTCAGTTGGATTATCTGAAGCCCGGTACCCTAAGACTAACCATAGGGAAGGGGGCAGACGCCAAAAGTACCGCCGCCCCCCAAGGTGGGGAAGAGGGTGGCTTTCGACAACTGCCTCAGACAACACCTCTCAGATTCTTAAGACTCCAGGAAAAAAAAAAGAAAAGGAGGTGAAAATTGGTAACGACCGACAGACATCCTGGAGGGGAAAGAGCGGTGGCAGCGAGCAGACAAAGCAGGCGACAAGTAAAGAAGAGAGCCTGGCACCCCGCCCCAACCGCACGCGAAGACAGAGAAAGGACGGGGTGCGGAGCCTAGGAAACCATGCGGAGGATCGGCCAGGAGCCTCTGGAAACCGGGAGGAAAAGCACTGACAGGAGGGGTCGAAAGGGCAGGGCTGGAAAGAAGACGCCGGCGGGAAAGGGAGAACCCCAAAACAGAGTCACGGAAAGAGGAGAGAAGGGAAAAGGCGGGGATGGACGAAGACAACGGCAGCAACACACTCACCGGAGCCCGGGGCTGAGGGGAGAGGCAGGGTTGGGGGCGGCGAACAGCCGCAGACGCCGGCCGGTCCAGCGGTCTCGACGTGAGGAAAGGCGAAACCCCCCGCAGCAGCTGCCAGCCGACCGGAGGATGGGAGGGGACGCGTTAGGGACTCTGAAATAGGGGGCCGCGGGGCGGTTGCGGGTGTGAAGACAACAGGAAGAGCCCCAACTGCCGGAAAAGACGGCAAGCGCAGGGGCCAACGCTGCCCAGTCCCCCACGGCGGAGACGGGCTGGCTCGGCGGCCAGGGCGCCGGACTGCGCAAGCGTGACTTCCCGGAGCCGCGGCGCGGGTTCCGGGTCTGCGCATGCGCCGCCCCGCCCCGCCTCATTCAGGCCGGAGAGGCCGGGTTGAGCGCAGAAGTCTGAGGGGTGGGGCATTTCGGGGTGGGCGGGACCGGGCTGGGCTCGCGGGGAAAATCCTTTTGGGTTTTTTTTTGTTTTGTTTTTTTCGTTTTGAAATAATTATAAACTCTCCCCCAAAGTGACAGAACTAGTACAAAAAGGTCCCTTTTACCCATCACACACCCAGCTTCTCTCAACATCTTACATAATACATTGCGTTATCAAAACCAGGAAATTAATATCGGCGGAGTACAATGGACTAGACCGATGCAATTAACTAGATGACAAACCTCAGATTTAACCACTCGGGCTTGCACTCATTTCTGCGTGTGAGCGCGTCCATCTGTGTAGTTCCATGAAGTTTTTTCACCTGTGTAGTCATGGTCCCCTACCAACTCTTGATTTCCATCATAAATAGGTCCCCCGGAGCCCTTCCCCACCCCCCACCCCCCACCCCCACCCCCACCCCCATCTACACTGCCTTAAAGTAAGGATTAGCATACTCTGCCTTGGATGGGGTGAGCTCTCATAGGTTTGGACATCTGATACCGGATACGGGGAGGATACCCCAGTGTGCACAGAACCTGCTTTCCAAGGCTACCCAGCTGCGGAGTCTGTCCCATCCCTAGGGTTAGCGAGGACCAAAGACTTTTGGACCCTCACTGGTTCCTTAAGAATGGAGGGCAAAAAAAAAAAAAAAAAAAGAATGGAGGGCAGTGCACTTGAGCAGAAATTATCAGGCTCCTGGAAACAAAGATGACAATGCCCCTGCCTGCCTTCAACGGAGGCCATCTAGGCAGCGAAAGAAGCACGTGTGCAAGTCATTCATTACTGTTTTGTGGTATTAGGGTGCCCCCAGGCTCTTCTGTATCTGTGCAAGACCTAAAGCTTGGTTTTAATCCTTCAAGCTTGGGGTCCTAGGCTTTGTTTCCTTAACGGTCTTAAAAACATAGGCTTTCCTTGACTGCTTTCATCTTGCTAGACTTCAAAGCCCAGTTTCCTTTAGTCTCAGCACACAAAAACCACTTTGATTTTCATTCCCGCACCCAGAGGCCCTTCTTCCTCAATGCCTTTTGTTAAAGTCCTCCCTATCCTTAAGGACTTAGTTACAGTGCCAGACTTTTGCATAGCACTTTTCAGTTTTTGAAACACATGCAAGAACTTAATCTCAGGTGATCCTCACAACTCTTTTTTTTCCTTCTTCTTCCGTAATTATTGAGGTTTAATTGACATATAGCACTGCATAAATTTAAGGTGTCCAACATAATGATTTGACCTATCTCACGAAATGACTATGACAATAAGCTTAGTAAACATCCATCATCTCATATAAATACAAAGTCAAAGAAACAAAACTTTAGGGCTTCCCTTGTGGATCAACTGGTAAAGAATCCACCTGCAATGCAGGAGACTCAGGTTCAATCCGAGTCGGGAAGATCCCCTGGAGAAGGAAAGAACAACCCACTTCAGTGTTCTTGCCCGGGAAATCCCATGGTCGTAGGAGCCTGGAGGGCTACAGTCCATGGGATCACAAGAGTCAGTCACAATTTAGCAACTGAACGATAACAACTTTAGTGAGGAGGATGCTGCTGCTAAGTTGCTTCAGTCGTGTCCGACTCTGTGTGACCCCATAGATGGCAGCCCACCAGGCTTCCCCATCCCTGGGATTCTCCAGGCAAGGATACTTGAGAAGGCAGTGACTGCTTATTCTTCACAGTGATTGGTTACAGTATTAGACTTTTCTTAAATGATAGGGAATTGGTTACTGGTTACCTCATAAAAATATTGGTGAAGAGTTTAAGTTGTGCCTATGATTTCCAGAGGCATAAGCAAGAAGTGACCAAGTCAAGTTAGTCTCCCTTGTCTTGCTAAATAAGATAAATTTTTTTGATAAATATTTTTAAAAAGAAACAAAACTTTCATATATAGTGTACTTTCATATATAGTATTCATATATATATAGCAGTGTTAATTATATCTATCACAGTGTCCATTACATTCCTAGTATTTAAATCTGGAAGTTTGTACCTTTTGACCACCTTCATTCAACTTCCCCTCCCTGCTCTGGTAGTCACAAATCTGATACCCTTTTCTATAAATTGAGTTCATTTATTTGTTTTTGATGTATAATTGATCTACAACTTTAGATCCTGTTCTACAACATACTGTCTCAATATTTCCATACATCTCAAAATGCATGTGTGCATGCGTGTTCAGTCATGTCTGACTCTTTGTGACCCTATGGACTATAGCCTTCCAGGCTCCTCTGTCCATGGGATTCTCCAGGCAAGAATCCTGGAGTGGGTTGCCATGCCCTCCTCTAGGAGATCTTCCCAAACCAGGGATCAAACCTGTGTCTCCTGTGTCTCTTGCGTTGCAGGTGGGTTCTTTACCACTGAGCCACCAGAGAAGCCCACATTTCAAAATGATGTAAGTCTATTTACTAGTGTCACCATACAAAGATATTACACAGTTATTGACTATATTTTTCACACTGTACATTTCAGACCTATGACTCATTTATTTTGTAACTAGAAGCTTGTACTTTTAATCTCCCTTACCTTTCTCCCCCACCATTCTTACCTACCTCCCCTCTAGGAACCACCAACTTGTTCTCCGTATCTATAACTCTGTTTCTGTTTTATGTTTGTTCATTTACATTTATTTTAGATTCCACATGTAAGTGAAATCATATGGCATTCAGGTCATCTGACTTAGTCTATTCTGTATGAATCTTTATCTTCCAGGGAAATTATATATTGACACTGTCTAAAAGGCACATCGCCCAGTTATCTGTTGTTAAAAAAACAAATATTCTGCCAAGTAAATCTTGAGTTGTAATTGACTTTGCTCAGTCTTGGTGAATCAGGCAGTATCCCAGCTAGTAAAGAGAAAGGAGCCTGAAGACCTGGTGCAGAATGGATGGTTTTTACAGGTGGGCAAGGAAGCAATTAGCAAATGAAAGGAAAGGATTGTTTAGGCCAGATCACCTTACTTGGGGAAAGGGTGAGGTTGAATCCCGCAGATTCCATCTTCTTCCTTTGTAGGGGTTGTGGAGGGTGGGATGGAGAGGGTCCAAATGACAGATTACCTTGTTGGTGCTCATCAGAAAATTCCTGGATGAATGACTGAGACTACATTCCCCAGGGAAAGTAAAAACTGCAATTAGATGAGGTATTAAATCTAAGTTTGTTCTCATGGGCTTCAGCATAAATGATGCCATTTTGGGCCTATGGTTTTCTTTTTAACACTACAAACTCACCTTTGTAACCAAAAAGGACGTACTGTATAGTACAGGGAACTCTGCTCAATATTCTATAATAATCTAAGTGGGAAAAGAATTTTAAAAAGAATAGATATATTTATATGTATAAATGAATCACTTTGTTGTACACCTGAAACTAACACAACATTGTAAATCAATTATAGTCCACTATAATATAAAAGTTAAAAATAAATGTTAGAAAAAAATAAAAATAAAGGGCAAGACCTTGATCTTGAAAAGTAAAACAACAGCAGTTTATCCTTTGTGACTTGCCAAAGGGATGTGAAGATCAGAATGGCTGTTATCAAAAAGATAACAAGATGTGGAGAGAAGGAAATCTGGGATATACTGGGCCACATCTAATGGAAGTTCTTAAGTCTTACTATGACTTTACTAATGCTGCTGGCTATGCTATTTGTATTTCATGTTTTACAAAATTGCTGTTTCTTACACTGCCAAACGTGTGACTGAGGCCTCTGATAAAATAATACTTAGTTCCATGTGAGATCGATGATGGTAACAGTGTAACTCTAGATATGGAAGAAGCAACAAGAGGGAATGTTTTCTTGGACCAAGAGGCTAGTAAGACAGGTGGTCCAGAGAATTTTGGATACTGTTTTATGGCCTAGTCCAGTAACAGCACACTGAGTGACCTGTCAACAAATCTCTGCCAAACCTGAGAATGGACAATCTCAGCACCATGGGATAAAATGGTCATGAAATGCCCCCCTCAGAATCATGGTCAAGTTTATGAGTGAAAAGGGGCTCTGCCAACTGAAAACTGACACTTGCCCTCTACATCCACAAAGATTAAATCATGGCCACTGCAACAGTTGACCTTCAGCTCCCCTGAAAGGAGTTCAGGGTGAAAGTCAGGAATGAGGCACTCTATGATCTGGGAAAAACTGGCAGAACAGGTCTTCAGATAGTTAGATCTTTTCAGGAGAAGATTTTATGAATCCCAACTCTTGCATCTTCTCCTACCTAGAGAAACACTGACGTCATTAATGGTGACATTTGCTTTGGCTATTAAGGAAAATTTTACAATTAAAAGTCAAAATAGAGTAGCTATGGTTCAGATATCCTGGAAAATAACTAGGTGATGTTATGGGTGTACTTTCAGATTAGACCTCGTATTGCTAACCCTTGAGTGTTCTGAGTCTTCACAGGCTTGGATGCCCCCATTCTCAAAACAATGTCTGCTGAAGCTAGTAACTGCAACCTTACTTTTTGTAAAACTAGGCAACTGGCTACCTGGCTACAAGTCTCCCCGAAGTGACAGGTCCAGAGTGGGTTTCAGGCCTATTCTTCTAAAAAGAAATGAGATTTAATTTGTCTATTAAAATTCCAGTTATCACTCCTCCAACTACTTCTAATTAGGTATGTTACACCAAAATGGCAGACCAAGGGATTGAGATTTTAATCATACAAAACTCAGATCTAGAACTTGGAACTCAGGAATACTTCCAGATCAGTGTCTATTCTCCAAGCTGAGGCAGTCCTATGCTTCCTGTCAAAATGACAGGAAGTTATCACAGTCATAATTGCCCAATTCCCTAAATTAAAACTAAGCAGAACTCTGTGGGGTTCTGGAGTACAGATCTGTTCTGTCCATTTCTTGTCTGTTGGATATAGGCTTCATTCAGCCTCCTTGACCTTTCCTGAGTTCCAAAGGGCGGATTCAAACAATTGCTAATCAGGGAAGGGAGGGGATACAGAAACAGAGGAGAAACAATCAAAGGTTGGTACAGCCTCCAGACAGTGGCCTGATTCCTACTTAAAGAAATATGCATAACAATGTCTTTGAGTTATTCTACAGAACTGGAGCCCTGACCCAGGTGGAGGATGTATCTTCAAACTAAACACAAGATTCTTGGAGCATATCTCTGTTGCCTTACCACCAACAAATCAAAAAAAAAAAAAAAAAAGAAGTCACAAACCCTGCAGCCCTCACCCCAAATGTTGCCTCCTGTTTCTGGGGACCAGTGATGACCATCCTGTTAGGTCTCCTATTTGGCCCCTGTCTATTTCATCTCTGAGAGGAGCCAGCAATTTCTAACTAAATTGCTGTTATTACAAGGGTGAATGCTGGTTTCAGGCAAAAAAAACCTTGGCTTAGATCAGGTAGAGAGAGACTTCGGCTCTGCTAGGCAGGCCTACACCCATGCACAGCAGGAACAAGTTACAGAAGAAAGACCTCCGCCCTATTCCCAAGAAGTATCTTGAGTATGAAGTCTCTCAGGGGAGAGTTGTTAGGGAAAGAGCACTGACTGAAACCACCCACCCTGGCCAGGCACCGTAGTAACCATTTGCATGTTTTATGGCAGGAGGTCCTGGTAAGGAACACAGAACTAATAAGCCACCACCAACCGGAAGAGTTCGGGAAAGGTCAAAAGGAGACCCCACATGTCCGACCACTTCCCAGAATCCTTCTCTCTGGCATCCATCTTGGCTGAACAAGGCGTGCACCACCAGGAAGGACTCTGAGTCAGAATGATTGGCTAAGGACAACCCGGAAAATAATCCCATCACCGTAAAACCTGAGACTGCAAGCCAGCTCTGTTCTCTGTTCTTGCAGCTCTGCTGCAAGCCAACAGAGCTGTTCTCCTGGGTTCTCTTACCCTCCTGCTCTCCACCTGGGTGCTCTTTCCCAATAAAATCTCTTGCTTTGTCAGCACACGTGTGTCCCCGGACAATTCATTTCCGAGTGTTAGACAAGAGCGGTCCTCCTTCGTGCAACACTTCAAGCTAGGCTTCAACAGTATATGAGCTTCTAGATGTACAAGCTGGGTTTAGAAAAGGCAGAGGAACCAGAGATCAAATTGCCAACATCCATTGGATAGTAGAAAAACCAAGGGAATTTCAGAAAGACATCTACTTCTGCTTCATTGACTACGCTAAAGAGATGGGAATACTAGGCCACCTTACCTGCCTCCTGAGAAACCTGATTGCTGATCTAGCCCTGCATGGACCCAAATGGTTACATTTTACCATGACTCCAGTAAGTGTAGAGGACACATTAAGTATAGTCATTCTTTTTGACCATCAAGCTCCTGAATCCTTTCCTGTATTTCCCACTTCTTACTATCAAAACTGAAAATTACAGATAGCCTTTTTTTAGGCTCCACTGCAGCTAGAGAGTAGGCACAATACGTAAGTGCCACCAATCATTTATTCACCTTGACACCCACCCTCCACCCCCCACCCTGCCCTCACCTGTGAGTTGGAAATTAGGGTAACCTGATCCTACTCTTATTAATACTTAGCTTCATTTGCCTCACTCCAAAACTCTGGTGTTGGCAGATCTGGCCTTTATTTCAAATGTTATTTCATTCATTATGCATTCTTTTTTGCATTAAGTGGTGTTTAAAAAAAAAATTGCATTGAAATACTACTTTGATTACTGATTTTTTGCCACCGTTATAAATCTTATGCCAAGGTGAGTGTCTAGCTCACCTCACTTTAACCCGACTTCAGGCCCTGGAACAATCACTCTGAATCTGTTCTGGTAAGAGTGGTGATGGCTCCATGTAGTTTCTAGAGACATCCACAGAGGTCTCATTGGCCAGAATTGCATCACATGGTCATCCTCCCTTGGAAAGCAAACTCAGCTTTTTATAATCTTCTAGAGAGGCAGGCAAAGAAGAAAGAGGTTAGTGAGGAATGAATATTAGCTCATACAGCCAATAATGTTTGTCATGGCAGTATATATTACTTTGCTGTTCTCTTTTAATCTATTTTACTTATCTAAATGGAGAAAGGGACTTCCCTCATATCTCACTCAGTAGAGAAACTGCCTGCAATGCAGGAGACCTGGGTTTGATTTCCACGTCAAGAAGATCCCCTGGAAAAGGAAAATGGCAACTCACTCCAGTATTCTTGCCTGGAGAATCCCCTGGACAGAGGAGCCCATTAGGCTACAGTCCATGGGGTTGCAAGAGTCAGACAGGCCTTAGAGACTAAACCATCAAATGGAGAACAGACATAAGGCACTTAGCAGGACCCTTATTAATTGACCTCTGGTTAATGGGAACACTGAACAGAATCATTCCTTTTGTATTTTCTATTCTATATTATCTCTCTTTTTATTATTTTGATATAATTCACCAAATCCAAGCTTCTGTTTTATAACAGTTTTCTTTAAAAAACTCTTGGATAAACATATAGTATATTGTCATTCTTCATCTCCGTGGGACTTGAATTACTTGGTTCAAATATTAGCACCTTTTTTTTTTTTCTTCTGTCTTGCTCCTTTTCCCAATTTCAAACCCATTAAACTTTTCCTTCTCTTTAAACATTGCTCTGAATTGTTCTTTGTCCCAAAGGTAATACCTGCTCTTCCTCTGTCAAGCTGACCTGTGATTGTATCACCAACTGAAGCTCAGCCTCTTGGCAAAGACCACAGACCCTTAGGGAATAGGCATCTTATCCCTGGCAGTGTGTGTCCAATCCTCTGGTGGCCATGACATCAACTGCTGCTGAGTATTCCCTCCAGTTGAGGGCAGGAACTGTGCATGGTGCCTGCTAGCCTAGTGTTTCTCAGACTTCAATGTGCAAACAAATCCCCTGGGATTCAGTTAAAAATGCAGATTCTGGTCCAGTGGTTAAGACTTCTGGCTTCCACTGGAAGGGGCACGGGTTCTCTCCCTGGTCAGGGAAGTTCAGCATGCTTCGTGGTACAGCCAGAAAGGAAAAAATGAAATAAAATGCAGTTTCTGATTCAGAAGGTCTGGGGCAGAGCTAAGATTCTGAGTTTCAAACAAGTTCCCAGGTGGTTCTAATGCCACTGGCCCACATACCTTGGAGTAATAAGGAATTTAAACATATATCTGAGTGAAAAAGAAGGAGACAGTGCCCACAATCCATCAGGGCAAAGACAGAGGCAAATGAGGCATTGAGGGATGTCTCTGCAGCACTGAAGAAGGCCCTGAATTCAGGTAGAGCCCCTGCACTAGCATGCTATTAATCCTGTTTCCTTACATTGTGAGTCCTAACACCTCACTTGCCCACCCTACTTCCAATCCCAGCCCCAGTCACTGCCAAGCAACATTTTGATAGGTGTTCCTTCAGACTGCTTCCTTCCTTCCCTCCTTTCCTTTTCTTTTCTTTCCTTCTAGTATTTTGTGATTTCTGCTGTAGCCCTGAGAGGTTGCTGCCGAAATGGGCAAGTTCATGATACCCCGAATGTGATGCTGGTCCTGGCTGGTCACTACTCCGAACGCAAAGCAGTCATCATGAAGAACATTGATGATGGCACCTCAGACCGCATCTACAACCATGTTCTGGTGGCTGGAATTGATTGCTCTCCCTGCAAAGTGACAAGTGCCATAGGCAAGAAGAAAACTGCCAAGAAGTCAAAGATCAAGTCTTTTGTGAAAGTTTATCATTCCAATCAGCTCAGGCCCACAAAGTACTCTGTGGATAACCCCTTGGACAAAGCTGTAGTCAACGAGGACGTCTTCAGAGAACCTGTTCTCAAACGCAAGGCCCAACGAGAGGCCAAGTTCGTCTGAGGAGAGATACAAGACTGCAAGAACAGATGGCTCTCCCAAAAGCTGCAGTTTTAGGTCTGTCTGTTTCAGTCCCTAAAAACAACCGTCTCCCCCCTCCCCAATTATGTTTTATTTATTTTAATGAACTCCTTTTAAGCAACTAGATGGCCTCACCTGGCTGAAAATTATCATCGCAGGTAATAATGTTTATTGTGAGTATGTTGAGTAGTATATTGGGAATCACAGATTTCAGTAGAATAAATTAACTGCCAAGTGGTTAGCAATTTTCCTTTCTCTTTATATCAGTTTCAGGCATACAGATTACTTTCTAATGCACACATAAACACAAATGGGATCATACGGTACATGATTATTACTATGTGTAATTATACCTGTAATATTTCACAGACACTATTGTACTCTTTTTTAAAATATTTATTTCTTTATTTGGCCGTGCTGGATCTTAGTTGCAGCACATAGGGTCTTCCATCTTCGTGTGGCATGCGGGGTCTTTGGGTCCTAATCCCCTGACCAAAGGTTGAACGCAAGCCCCCCGCACTGGGAGCCTTAGCCACTGGACCACCAGGGAAGTCTCCAGTATCGTACTTTTGTTATAGTATTTGTCCATTTATATCTAAGTTATGATAGTTTAAAACCCTCAAATTAAATCCTCAAATTTAAAAGCTTAATATCAAATTCATTTACTAATCCTATTCCTCAAATATGTACATAGTTACTTCCTCTGAGTTGAAAGGATTATGAGTGGTTATTATCTCTTTCTTATACTTTTCTATACTTTCCAAATTTTTCACATTGGACTCATGTAATGTTAATTTCAATTTTATTTTTATCGAAGTAGTATGGACTTGAAAAACACAAAATTATCTACAATATTATAATGATAAATAGAAGTTCCTTGCCCCACCCACTGCCACTGGAGTTAATCAGCAAGCAGCTGCTTTCAATGCTTTTGGTTGTTTCTTCTGTTATTCATCACCTTGTTTCTAAATAACATTGCTTTTTCTTAAATTTCCAATTTTAGATATTTTTTCACTTCCTCAGTGAAGGTGAAGATTTTACTTAGTTGCACCACAACTTCCATATAACTTCTTCCACCACTGTCATTTTCCTTAAATCAATATTTTATTCTAAAAAGAAGACATACAGATGGCCAACAGTACATGAAAAGATGCCTAGCTTTGCTAATTATTAAAGAAATGTAAATCAAAACTACAATAAGGTATCACCTCACACCAGTCAGAATGGCCATCTTCTAAAAGTCTACGAATAATAGATGCTGGAGAGGGTTGGTGGGAATGTAAGTTGGTGCAGCCACTATGGAGAACAGTATGGAGGTCCCTTAAAAAACTAAGATGATCCAGCACATGATCCAGCAGTCCCACTCCGAGGTACATATCTGGAAAAAATAAAAACTCTAGTTCAAAAAGCAGCACTGTTTACAATGGCCAAGCCATGGAAGCAACCTGAGTGTCCACTGACAGAGGCATGGATAAAGAAGATGTAGTACATACATACAATGGAATATTACTCAGCCATAAAAAGAAATAATGCCATTTGCAACATCATGGATGGACCTAGAGATTATCATACTAAGTAAAGTAAATCAGAGAAAGGTAGATATCATATGACATTGCTTATATGTGGAGTTTAACAAAATGATACAAATGAACTTATTTACAAAACAGAAAGAGACGCACATAGAAAACCAATTTGTGGGTACCACAGAGGAAAGGAGATAAATAAATTAGGAGCTTGAGATTACCAGATGCACACTCCTATAGAAAAAACAGATAAAACAAGGACCTACTGTATAACACAGCAAAATATATTGTAATAATCTATAATGGAAAATAATCTGAAAAAGAATATATGTATATTTCTTATATATATGTGAAGCTGAATCACTTTGCTGTACGCCTGAACCTAACACAACACTGTTAGTCAACTGTACTTCAATTATAAAAGATTGTTTTTAATTCAGTGTTTATAACTGAACCAAATGACTCTGTCCTTTTTTTTTTTTAATATTTATTTATTTATTTGGCTCCACTGGGTCTTAGTTGAGTCACTCGGGATCTTAGATCTTTGTTGTAGCATGCTAACTCTTAGTTGTGGCATGTGGAATCTAGTTCCCTGACCAGGGATCGAACCCAGGCCCCTGGCATTGGGAATGCTGAGTCTTAACCACTGGACCACCAGGGAAGTCCCACTATCCTGTCTTCTTAAGCCATTTTTTTTCCCCCTGAAGTTAACAATTGCTTCGATTTTTTCCCTTGCATAGTTTTGTTTTAAGATATCTGTCACTGATTTATCTGCAGGTTCTCTGTCAAACTGGATAGCTTTTATCAGATTATGGTCAAACAGCTCTTTTTTTTTTTTTGCTGTAGGATCATCCTTCCTAGAGTTCTCTGTGTTAGCCAGCACTCTCCAGAGAAACAGGCAATAGAGTCGAGAGAGAAACAGATTTGTTTTAAACATCAGAGTTGGGGAGAGCCAGCAAATTCTAAATCTGTAGGACAGGCTGGAAACTCAGGCAAGGGTTTGCAGCCTTAAGTCTGAAATCCACAGGGTAGGCAAATAAGCTGGAAACTCAGGCAGGATTTTTATCATCTTGAGGCAAAATTCCTTCTCCCTTGGCAAACCTCAATCTTTGCTCATAAGTCTTTCAACTGAATGGATGAGGCCAACCCACATTATGAAGGGTAATCTGCTTAATTTAACAGTCAAGTGATTATACATGTTAATGATTCTAAAATATACCTTCACAGCAACATCTGGAATGTTTGACCAAACAGGGCACCATAAACTAACCAAGTTGACACATAAAATTAACCACCACACCCTCCATTATCCTACGTAATCTCTTTCCCAGTATGTTTACTTTTTTTTCTCTTTGGTTATTTCCCTCCCAGTTAATTTCATGGCCTTCTCTTTAAAATTCACCCACATCTTTCAGTAAATATGTCCCAGGTGAATTAAGACAACCCACCGAAGAGACTTCCCTGGTGGTCCAGTGGTTAAGAATCCGCCTCGCTGGGCTTCCCTCGTGGCTCGGTGGTAGAGAACCCTCCGGCCAGTACCACATGACACAACAGAGATCTCTCCAACCACCACTGAGACCCAACGCAGCCAAATAAATAAATGACAACCCGTCAGAGAACCGGTGCTAAGGTAGGCAGAGTGGGAGAGTCGGCGGGTATCTCCTCCACCCCCATCCAGCTGCCTTCTCATTTCCATGTCTTTCCCACTGTCCCAGGAGAGCACAAGGGGACACCATATACTATGTGGTAACTGCCAATAATAAAGGCTGGTCAGGATAAAAAGAATTTACTTGCAACTGTAGTTCTTAAGGGAAGCCTTAGTATAATCAGCTGGACCTGCCACCTGGTCAGTTTTATCTTAATGCTTAGGCTACAAACCTGAAAACTCAAAAAAAACCACTAAATGCAAAAGTGACTTTTCATATTGCTTCTCGGTTTCAGACTTCTAGATATGCCACCAATACACTGTACAATGATAGCTTTGGTCATGATTTTGCCTACTTAGAGTTTTTATTTTCTTTGAACTGAATGCTTAGTGATGGGGCTAAAATAATTGAGAAGTCTTAAGGAAAACAGATTTTAAATTAATTTTTTCCAAATGACTCTATGTGTGCGCGCGCATGTGTGATTATGAGTCAGTGTTTCTTTGGGAATTGAGGGCAAAAAATCTCAAAAACAAATGCAGAATGTGAAGTGTGGCACATTGCCTACACTTTTCCTACCTGTCTGTTTTGAGAGTGAAAACATTCGGAGGGAGAGAATTAAACCTTTTGCAGCAAGGAGAGAAAGAGAACTACAATTTCTGAACAAAAAGGGTGACAGAAGCAAGTTCCCCAAAGAAAAAATAAATCTGAAAGTCAGAAGTGAATAGGATAAGATGTCCATTGATCTCTTTGTACTTAGATGGGAACCTTCCTATAAAATGAGTGAGTTTTCTGAGACTCCCATTGTTGAAAATTTTTCTTTCAGTTGGTGGGGTGGAGAGATGAATCACAAGACTCTCAGGCTCCCTTAGGGATGTGCTCAATCTTCCCATGTTTGCAGAAGCCCCAGAACTGTCCTAACTGCCAGATGATAGCTGATCTCATGTATTCCCTAAAAATAGAGGCATGTGAATCCCAGTTGTTCTAAATAGAAGTAATAGGACACACTAAAGTGTTCCATATACGTAAGTTTGGGAAATGATGGATTAAGTAAAATTATGTGAGTTTCTTTTTTCCATTTTTTCTTTTCTTTTTTTCTGGGGGGCCATGCCACATAGCTTGTGGGATTTCAGGTACCTGACCAGGGATTGAACCTGTGCCACAGCAGCGAAAGCACCGGGTCCTACCCACTGGCGTGCGTGCATGCTAAGTCGTTCCAGTCACGTCCAACTCTAGGCAACTCTATGAACTGTAGCGCACCAAGCTCCTCTGTCCAATGGGATTCTCCAGGCAAGAGTACTGGAGTGGGTTGCCATGCCCTCCTCCAGGGATCGAACCTGCGTCTCTTACGCCTCCTGCACTGGCAAGTGGCTTCTTTACCACTAGCGCCACCTAGGAAGTTCTCCTACCCACTAGACCGCCAGAGAGTTACCTATATGAGTTTCTTTATTGCAGGACTTAGGTCCTTAAATATCACTGTGACTCTCCATCAGAAATGTTTATTGAATAGTGAAGAACACCGATCTAACTAGTGATCATGGGGTGGTGGGGTGTAGGAGAAAAGGGCCAAGAGGATCATTTGCTCATTCTTGTAGCTTCAAGTCAAAGGAACAAAGTTCTCATAAATTCCCCCTTTGTTCTAAATTGCTAAGAGCTATTTCAGACTTCAGTCCTATCAGAGCTAGAGATCATTTCCTCTAATCCTTCCATGTTACTGATGTGAAAACTGGCCTAAGGAGAGTTGCCTGAAGTCATAGGTGAATTAAAATATGAAGTTCGGTTAGACCTAGCTTTTCTGACTTCCTGTTTATTGATC